AAATCAATTTAAGACAAGTGGTATACACAATTATCGCATGTTAATAACGATGTACTATGTTTGAAATCTGATAACTCGTACGCGAATGAAAATCGTCAATTTCGTCACGTCAGTTTTGTAAAATGTTACATTGTCGCTGATGAGATGTCCCGTTCCGTAACACCTCTAGCGGTAATCCATAAACTGAGTGAATTCTCTCCCTCAAATTTTGAAAAAAAAATCATCAAGATGAGAGATACCTGTTGATGTTTTTATGTTCTGGTTTAAACGAAATCGCACTGAATGAATGCAGAACACCATCGGTTGAAAAGACCATTACAGTTGGACAAGGAGGTCTTTCCATGGTGCCGTCATCATCTAAATTAATTTCACGCAATAAAATCTCTTTCATTCACTTACAATTTCCCGAATAAATTGGAGAGATAATAGCGATCACGATCAAATTCTGAATTCAAAAACGCTTTCCTCATTTTAAAATGTCACAATCGTCGATTCAAAAGCTTCGCAAAACTGTGCGATATCAAAAGGTGTTTACGTGATCGCTGTTGCAGACTATTAAAGAGGAAAGACGGTTTTTGAACGATGAATGGAACGGATTCACTTACTCAACGTGACATTCACTTGTGATGATGTATCGATGCACAGACCAACAGGGAACGTCTCTTCTCCCTTGCGACTGAGAGGTGTTTCGATTCGAGACGTATCGTCTAGTTGCCAACATTTCCATGTATTCTCAACTTTACCTAACAGCGCCACCTGAAGCTTCTTTTGGTCAATAAAATTCTCCACATACTATAACCGATCGCTTCCTCTTAATTTCTCTGAATATTTTTGTATCAGGTGGAAGAATTTTCGAGGGCAAAAAAAAGAGAGAAAATCACTATCTTGTTTTGCGACGTTCTGCTTGCCTTACCAGAATCAATCCGCTAAATTCCCACATCAAATCAGTCCGTAATAGTACTCCAAGTCGAATGTTCGTTCTATCGATGAACTGACAGAAATGAAACAAGAACTAGCTAATT